GAATATGACTTTTTTTGCATCTGTTTGAACCACTTTCTAAATCATTTTAATTGTGCTTTCCTCTATTCCGGTATTTACCTCTTAACTAAAATAGCCTATTTCAAGTTTAGAATCTAATTAGCTGCCTCATGTCAGCAATATTGAAAATGTTGGTTGTGTAAAGCTTCATTTCAGTTTATTTATAGGAATGAATAACTTGTCAGCATATTAAACTTGCAAAAACAAAGCAACGCCCTCGATCATTTATCTCATTTAAAGCAGAATGTTAAATGAATTTCTGTATTGATTGGCGTTCATATCACCTGGCCTCACAAACCATGACACTGCTAAACGAACGACGTCGGAAGCGCTGTAAGTACCATTCTAAACAAATTAAATCCAATGGTAAATTAAAAAAGCCCAAGGCATCCCTAATAGTCTGCAAATCACACTTTAAGTAGCAGTCACATCTGATCGGCGGCGCTGTCCCTGCATTACCCGAGCGTGTTAGCAATGGTGATGAGGGCCTCTAATGTCTTTTTCTCACCTCCACTGTGCAACCCCGTTAATGTCCCTATCAGCGTGTAGTAAAGCGTCTACAAACATCATCATTCTCACATTTACATTCAGGTGATTCAGGGATAGAGCTTGTGACTGAAGGCTTTGTGGATCAGTCCCAGCTCTAACCTGCTCATATTGTCATTGTGTCCTTGGGCATGACACTTGCCAAATGAAGAGTTTGATTGGAGAGAGTGTAGCGGGTGATTGTGTTATATTGAGGGTAGATTGGCTCGTTTTTGTGGGGGCAGCTGTGGCCAGTGTTGCCAGACTGGGAGGGTGCCCGCCTAATTGGGCTTCTTTGGACTAGGAGGGGAAGCCTTAGGAGGGCGGATAATAGTTGGGCTACTTTCAACAAGTTTGGGCGTTTTTTGTTTTCACACCAATCAACGTGATACACAATAACTCGAGGAACCGTATGGGACTTTCACTCTTGTCCAGTCTTATGGAGGTGCGGTCCAGCCTGTACACAAATGAATGGACGTCCGCTACGTTCAGACCTCAATGGGCGGCTGTTGAACAAATTCAGTTCTTCGATGTTTTCGAGTAGGCAGGTTTGTCTATGTGTTTGTCAGCTGTTCTTGCAGTAGTCTAGGCATTGATGATGTTCATTTTTATGCATGATGAAAACACTGTTCTACGTTTTACCAAAGGTTTTACAGAACATGTTTTCTCAAGCCTGGCAATGTTTTTAGAGTAATGATCAGTAATGATGATTTAGAGTAAATGATCAATTAAAATACTGTTTAACAAGTTAATAGTGGCAATGTTTTTAAATATAAAATATATAAAATAAAAATATAAAATTTTAAATATCCTACAACATTTTTATTCAAATATAACATTTCCTGTGATAAATGAAAATGCTGTTCTACATTTAACATGTTTTCTCAATACTGGCAATGTTTTTCAAAAGCCAAACAATGGATTACATATGTTTATTCACAGATTAAATCTTTTCTGTGACCAAAGGGTGGGTTTTCGGATGTGATTGGGCGGAAATCACTAAACACAATCTGGCAACACTGGCTGTGGCTACATAAATATGACTATGCTAACATGAATAATCACCTACTGACAAGCTTCGAACATGCTTCTGACCTAGTGTGACCAGATGTCCCTGTTTGCCCTGTGTCCCCTGTCTATTTCTCCAAAACCACTGATTTGTCCCAGTTAAATACAAGAAATGTCCCAGTTGTCTCTAGTTTGACCAAATTGTTACTCACCAACAGTAAAGCTTGTCTTTTTCTTGTAGTTAAAATTCAGAAAAACATGCTTGAAAATGAGCATAAGGCGAAAAAAAAAAAAAAAAAAAAGCAAAGACAGAAGTCCTTCAGATTAAATACAGACATGTGTGAGTCGAGTAAGGACAACGTGAGCGCTCTTTTCACAATTTTACCGATCATCCCAACCTGGGTGTGTCCAAGTTTTAAATTTTGAATATTTGGTCACCCTATCCTAACCCTTCCTACTAACTTAGCTAAAAAATATGACTAGCAAAGAGCAAAAGTATGTACCAGTAGCAACTAGGGATGGGCATGATTAGTCGATTAATCAATAATTGATCATCAAGAATTTCATCGATTACATTAATTTTAATTGATAAACCGAATGTAGGTTGCTGTGCGTAGCGTGACCAAACAGGGGTCCGTACACGTAGCTCTCTGCAGTCAGAAGGAGCGAGCAAACACAAACAGTCGGTCAGCCTGCAACGTGCCGAAGTGCAAATGCGTATTTAACGATGACTTGTACAAGAAATTCCACGCTTTCCGTTCCGGTCGGGACAAGTGTGAGTCCATGTGCCCAGTGTACAAAGCAGCACATATGTTTCTGTGTCCAGTGGGAAAAAGCTTTGCCAGGTGAGAGTCGCGCAATGTCGATGACGAGTCCCCACCTTCCACCTCCTGTACGGTGTCCTGGTTTTGACAAACGCAAATATGGTCACACTAACCTGTATTCCACCGAGTCGTGTCTTTTAATCTGACAGAAGTTGACCGCATCAGCACACAAGAGCTGTTTTTTTTTTCTTCGCTTACTTTATGCAATTTAGCGATGCGGTTTAAAGTTTCGTTTCTGTGAGAGTTGCGCAAAACTGAATTAAACACATTATACTGTCAAACGGGCTGATGTGGCTCTAGCGTGGTTACGGTTTATATGTCGTAAAGTTTAATTTATTTATGCAGATTAGTAGTGCAGATAGTAATAATAATGATGATAATTTTAATATAAAAACATTAATGGTTATTTGATAATCTACCATTAATTCTTCCGACGATCGATTAAGAACATTTCATCGAATGCCCATCTCTAGTAGGAACCAGAACCGGGACCAAATCAGGGCACGAAAATAAAGTTAGCGATGCCCGGTTGTGACATAGGATGCACATGTTTTCAAGCAAAAATTTCAGGGGTCCCAAAGGTTTCATATACTCTTAGATTCCCTTTTAGCTGAAACTTCACAGAGGTGTAATCCAGGGACCAAATTATGTACCATTTGATGTATTTGGAGCACCAGCCGCCCTCTCAGCCAGCCCATAATAATCATAACACGGAGGTCTGGCCCTCATGTCTGTGACCCTGTGTTGTTGAAGAGCTCTGGAGGCTGTGGCGCTAACAGTGCCATTCCTGCGCCCCCGCGGGCTTGCTAGCTTTGTCTTAGCTCCCCAGGGCTAACGGCGCGCTGTGCTAGCAGTGATTAATTGTGCCTCTTGTTGACTGAAGCGGCCCCTGCCTTATGTCCACACAAGTCTCAAGTGCACCGAGTCAACATTATGCTTTCTATATGTTCTCCTGTATCTCTCTCCTTTTATTAGAAACAATAAAACAGCCAGAGTTTATATGCACTGTTGAGCAAACGTTTAGTTTAGTGAGGCGTGAATATGAGAAGACTGTATTACTAAGTAGTCCATACATTTTCAGATTTTATTATAACAGCCACACACAACAATAACAAAACAAAACAAATCACATTAACACAAATATTAATGTTGGCGAGAATTTATCATCGCAAATTGTTAGATGTTTTTATTTTTTATACACCTTTTCATAGCCCTTCATAAAAGTGTTCATTATTATTGTGTGACTGATGTAACTTTCGGAGACATTCTTTATCTTTATCGTTGTATTTATTTTAGGCTTTAAATGGTACAGGCATTACCGATTAAATCAAATTCTCTTGTGCTATTTTGCATGGAAAGAGCTGAAGCCAATTCCATCCTGTGTTTTTGAGAAAAGTGAACTCTTGAAGAATCGCACACTGAGCTAATATTAAATCGGCGCTCAGGCAAAACAATACTTTTATTATTCCTTGATTTCTGCCCAAGCCTGGTCGCCTGTGCAGCAGTGCAGCAGCTGCAGGCATCGAGGAAGTGAACGGGAGCGTGAATCTCCAAAGCCAATGGGATAAGAATACTACATGCTACAATGATTTGAGCTAAATAACTCATGTTTGATAGACACTAATGTTTCGCTGGATGGTCTTCCAGGGTGTGAATGGAATAAATTAACATCTCAAATGGCTTAACTTAAGGCGAGAGATTTTGTCAACTTGTTTTTATAAAGTTCCACTGGAAATGTGAAACTTCAAATACTGTTTTCACACTTGTATGCTAAGGTGGATATCTTCAGTTGTACGTCAGGCAGTTAATTCAAATACTTTCTCTATCTTATATATTTTTACATTTCCTTGGATTTGGGACAACAAAAGTGTTTATTGCCACAAGTCAGATACGTGTTTATATTAACTTCTCCATAAAGATAGATATGTTAAATGCCATACTGTGTAGGGATGTAACAATAACTTAAATAATAATTGTGATATTATATCGTCACAGTTCTCTCAATAATATCGTGGACCATCACAAAATATATAGAATTAAAAGTCTCTTTGCTTAAATTAAGAGTTATGGTGCAGCAATAGAAAAAAGACAGAGGGAACTACATCGACCATGATCCTTTGCTCCATTTCAGTGTAGACTACAAGAAGAAATAATAGTTCCAAGCACTTTTAAATCTTATTTCTTTACATTAATGGGAAAAAGTAGCGTGTTAACAGTTTTGTCAGCCTCCACAAAATATCGCAATAAATATCGTACTGTGAGATGTATATCGTAAAAATATTGTTCAGAGAGATTTGGATATTGTTACATCCCTAATCGAGAGCCTCCCCACCATATTGTGAGCTTTCCCACGACATCGCAATAAATATCGTACCATGATGATATCATATCGTGCCACTTGGATATCGTTACACCCCCAATACTGTAGAACATTCCAGACAAAGCAATAACATATCCATGGGGACAAGCTGGTGGCAGATCCTCAATCAGAAAAGTTACATAGTCCCGGTCTAGCTTTAAATAATAAAGCCAAAGAAATGTTCTCTTTCTGTCAGTGTCAACCTTACAAATAAATGACAAAAGCAAATGTGAGCTGTTTAACCGTTTTTTATGCTCTGATCACAGGTGTCCCGTCCAGCCCGCGAAACGTCATCTCATTTGTGAACGAGACTTCGGTGATCCTGGAGTGGCACTCACCTCGAGAGACAGGCGGCCGCAGCGACGTGGTCTACAACATCGTGTGCAGGAAATGCCGCGCCGACCGCCGCTCGTGCTCGCACTGTGACGAGAACGTGGAGTTTGTACCGAGGCAGCTGGCCCTCACCGATACCAGAGTGTTCATCAGTAACCTGGTGGCTCATACGCTCTACAGCTTTGAGATTCAAGCTGTGAACGGCGTGAGCAATAAGAGCCCGTACCCGGCGCAGCATGTCACCATAGACATCACCACCAACCAGGCCGGTAAGTGGACCCGCCGTTCAACTGGGATAATGAGGATGACGAGATGGGGCTGGGGAGGAAGATGTTGTCCTTAGAACTTTTCATGCTGGAGCTACTGTATAAATGAAATCAGTTTTTTTTTATATAAATGTATGGTTTGCTTTTCCACATTTTAACAGCAGGGATCGTATTTTGGTATTTCAACATTTGAAATAGTAGACTCAAATGTGCTTTTTAATGAATAAATGTGAAAGTAGTTGGCAGATTTCTAGGTTGCGTATGTAGATATATAAAGTTACATGTTTTTACTCTAATATTTGCTCTCCACACAACCATGAACTTTTCAAGGCTTGAGACACAAATGTTTAGATTGGCCCACTTCTGTTTAGGTTAGCATTTTTTCACACTTTTTAGACTTAAACTTAGACAAGCAAAGCAAAAATATAAGTGCCAAGAACACGTTCAAAATAAATTCCAAAACTAGCAAGAGACTGTTGACAAATAAGGCAAATATACAAATTTTACTTTTTACTTCATCGCTGCACATCTGACTGAAAGACTACCATGATTTCGCAGTACAGTATGAATCAAAAGTATACACATATTTGACATTTTTTCCTTCTAGAATTGAGTCTGTATTATTTACAAAAAAAATGTCATTAAAACTTGACATACGAAGCTACATGTTATGTTCTTCAGCTGCTCATCTTTTCCTTTTAGAGTTTATTTACCCAAATCCTGACAGAAAGGCTCACTTTGCATGTCTTTTAGGGCATTCCAGAAAGCACGTATTTTAACTTGGGTTAAGGTAATCTCTTGTGTAAACCCTCTGACTCATGGGTTACATCTGTGGGCTGAAAAGTGCTTTCTGTGCACACTGACTCCGGCTTTGCTTTGGTCTCCTCTTTGGTCTTTGTTAAATTAGACTCAGCTCTGTATAACTGGAGTGAATATGTTAAAAATGTGAATCTCTAATGTTTTTTGATTTTAGTAATGGGCAATAATAATATAGCAGTGTTTTTTTACATTTACAAAGGATTTGACACCACCCACACAAACTCACACATGCATTTACAGTAAGCTATGTAGTGAGAAAAGAATGAGGGAAAAAGAATAATTGATGTATTGCATATAAATCTGATCTTTAATTTCAATTGCATTTCATGTTTGGTTCATTTGTTTTGATATGAACGTATTTTACTATACGCAATTTGGTTTTGTATTTTAAACATTGTCAGTACTGACTTGTCTAAACTCATAAACATATAAACTAAACTGTGTTAAAGAGTGAACATGGTTCCTCTTACAGTATAGATTAAACCTAACCTAATCTATCACAAAGGAGAGAAGCATCTTACAACACAGTGCTACATTACAGTTCAGATCTGTGGAGAGGTGCCCCTATTCACAGAAGGAATGACTGTATTTTTGAGCAATAGAAGCACCCATACTGAATAAATGCTAGATGGATGTTTAATGCCGTATCATGGAACATTCCAGGCAAAGCAATAACATCTCCATGGACATAAGCAGTGCACTTTTAAAGTATATATATATATATATATATATATATATATATATATATATATATATATATATATATATATATATATATATATATATATATATTTTTTTTTTTTATTTCATATATTTGATGTGTGGTGTGTCTCCAGTAACAACTTAAAAATCAAATACTCACATTGACTATAGATCTTACTGATAACAATTCTTATACTGATTTATTCTTAATGACAAAAAACACTGGACATGATGTATGCCATAATTTGATGTTTTGGTTCTCAAGGCAATTATCCAATCAGAAAGCAGGACAAGCCTCCCATGAGTCTAAGTCTCTCATTTGCGTTGCTAGTTTCAACACTGAAATCTAGTTGGTTCAAACCCAAAAAGCCCCAGTACCTGCAGCCAACCATTAACCAGTGCTAGTGCAGCCTCTGAGTAAATTCTGGAGGTTCTGAGCTTTCATCTGAGACATTTTGTTATCACATGGAAAACTTGTATGTGTCATCTATATGCAATGGTGTAGTGGGGGTACGTGATTCGTGACGATGTTATTAACATTAACAGCATTCATAATCACCTACAGAACATAAATCACAGGCTACAACACATGAACCAGGACTAAACCAGAACTAAACTACCTCTTAACCAGAATTAAACCAGGACTAATCTTTGATTTGAGAGAGAGGAAGAACCCCAAGCACATGGAGCAGGGTGTCCGCAAAGCATGATTGGGCATTGGCTGCGCTTAGCCGTGTGGGGCGCAAAGCTCTGTGCCGGTCCTTTCGCCTGCAGCCACCTGACGGACAACGCGGGTGTACCTCCAGGCCCGTCCCGACACTCAGTCCTGGTTCTTTTCTGGTTTAGACCTGGTTTAGACCTGGTTTAGACCTGATTTAGACCTGGTTTAGACCTGGTTTAGATCTACTTTAGACTTGATTTTGACCTGTTTTAGTCCTGTTTTAGTTCTGGTTCAGTCTAGATTCAGTCCTGGTTCAGTCCTGGTTCCCTCATGTCACATGTCACTATAGGTCATTACTGGAGATACCATGAGCCTATGCAGGTTGTTTTCACCATTTCCAATACCTCCAGTTTGACATTTAAGTTGTAGCTATTTTATATTTGTTATTTTTTTATATCTCACGCTGGAAGAAGTAGGTGGACGGTGTACCCCCACGTACCACGGCCACTACATCCCTTGTCTATATGCAAGTTTAGGCACAGAGAAAACCCTGGTTCTGTTGTGAATGTAGTACTTGTTTCAACAGTATGAAAATAAGGAAATAAATAAATAAATAAAGTGCAGGCCACATACAGATGCCTATGGATGTGTTGTTGGCTGCACAGAATTCTTCATGGTCTCGTAGCTTTTTGACTCGTACACAGACTGCACCTATCTGGGGACAAGTATTACCAAGTGAAACATTTGAAAAGGCTGTCCATACTGTTCTGTTTTTCTGAGCACGAATTGGACCATGAACTCTCCCCTGCATAGTGTGCTGAGGGAAGTGTTTGGGAAGAGGGCCCAGACATCACTTTTTATAATACCTTGTTCCCACAGACTTTATAATTAAAAAGATGTTTCTTCATTGCGACAAGGTTGTGTCAGTACGGCCTGTTTAGTAAATGTAACGCGTGCAGAAGTTTGGGTTTCTTTCTTAGGTGTGAAGGGGAATGCATTGTCTTTAGGAATGCGCTACAAGCCAAAAAAGTTGTTTTTGTGTGAGATATACAAGTAAAAGTTTAGCTGCACATTCTTCTGAAGAAACTACTGTATACTGTTGCAGTGAAGAAGGCAATTACAGAGTTCTAACTCACAAAGCAACAAGTATACAACGCCAACTCTGTCTAGAGCTGAAACTGTGTTAGTAATGAGCATTGTTTTTGAGAAAGATGCAACATTTACTTTTCTGTTGGGAATAAGAGACTGCTTTTCACTAGAAGGCGTGTGCTATTATGTGAGCGATTCATTTTTGCCTGTGCTTATATTCTATTCAATCAAGCAACTTCACTGTGCAGAACCAATCTTCACACAGCATTCTAACTACATTCTTTCTATAAGTGGTTATAAATCACAATGGCATTTACTTATTTATTTGTTCATTTGACAGACATTTGGCTTGTATTCATTTTTGATATATTGACATTTCTTCTAGTTTTCAATGTTGGGGACTGCAAAAGTTTATTATCTGGAAATAGAAACTTTGTCTCTGCTTGAAGTATTATTCTAGAATTTACGCTGAACCCATTCCACCCCAAAATATTCAATCAGAAGTTGAAAGAAGCGCTCGCAATGAAGTTAAGTAGTATTAATGACCGCTCCATCAACAATCAACATTTAATATCATTCCCGCCATTGTGTCTGCCGTTTGAAATATGAATGTCTCAATACAGAACGCCTCTTTCGTACTGAAGCACATTTTAAAATCAAATTAAGCCTCGACCAGCGGATGGATATACGATCACTCTCAACCAGGAGCGTAATGACGGACGGAGCGATCCCAGAGACAAGGTGGGAGGGCGGCCATGACTGCAGGAGAAAAGGAGCGCTGTTTTTGACCACACCGTGTCTGTGACAATGAAGGAGGCAAAATGAGCCAGTAAATAGGTCTGATTATCGGGCTGGCCTAATGGCACTGCTGTCCGCGCCCTGACAGGCTAATAGCACACTTGACAGATAGATGGAGAAGAGGCAATGGGCCGCCCTATTGTTGGAGTGCACTGCATTAATGAGGTGTCTGCCTGTAATCTGCCAGCCCTGTATCCACCAATGTCCCAGGCCTTTGTCCACGTCAGCACTGACTGTTAGGACTTTTGAGGTGTAGAGTAAAACTTATTTTTATTGTACCTGAAAAATTTGGCTTCTCTCGTTTGCTGTGCAGTTTGTGTCACTTATCGCTGAGAAGTTATAAATTCTGCCTTTCCACAAACAAACAAAAACGAAAATAAGTAAGTAATTTCTTTTCAAAGTTGAGTGGATTTCTGCTGCAACAGAAATAGATTTGGCTGTTAAAACCATTGCTATACAGAGAAGAAATTAGAAGACTCATATGTTTTTAAACGGCATCTGTTTTTGCAAATGAACTCTTTATTTTGGCCCGGGTACAGCAGTTCCTTTTCCCACTGTGTTTAAAGTGACTTCTTGATGATTACAAATTCACTGTGCATTTAAAAGCAGTCTAACTTACCTTGTGAGGGTGTCCTACCTGCTTGTCTTCATAGAAATGGTTATCGCTCTGCCAGAAAATGTTCCACAGTGTAGCTTTTGAGTTCTTGCAAGTACTTCATTACATGTGTTTTTGTGACTAAAAAAACAGTACCTTGAAATTTATCCATTCTTATTGTGACCAGGCTCGCCTCTCCGCAAACCTTTCCCTTAACCTCTGGTCGTTATCTGTTTTTCTCTGTGGTGACATATAGTTAAATGCCACCGATGCTATAATGTCTCAGTGGATACAGGAAAGTGGCATGGATTCCTCCAGATATGGATGCACCATTCCAGC